GGTGGCCCGGTCTAAGGCTTAAACTCCAGGGCTGTAAAGGAGTCCCTCTCCGGCCCTGAGTCCTCGTGCTGCATGAACAAAATATATGCTAATAGGTATATGCTAACATGCCAATAGGACATTTAATTTGGCAGTAACCTGGGTTAATTTCTTCTGGTAAACTGATTGCCATCACAAAATCGCTTCGTTTTATGCTTGAACAACTAAATGAATGCCAAAGTCTGTTTAACTGATTGTATTTTAATTACATTACAACATCGATGCTGTAAAGGGGGCCGTATAAAATGGAAAAAAAAACACAATAAAAGGTCACTGTAAGTTTATTAGTATAGGAACATTAGCTTGGCATTTACCCTATTATGAGGTTTGCTGAAGGTGCGCAGCTGTCGTGCAGTGAGGGTTTTGCCTCTTTAATAATCTACAACAGTTTGCATTTACTGAACAGCAAGAATGATTAATAAATCCATATCAAACAGTCCCTTATAAGTCACGTCTCGCTTTCAGTTTCAGACTCTGGCGCGTTTTGCACTCACACACAAGCACTGGCCCACCTCTTCCCGATTCAGCGCACTCACACTTCTCAAACTATCCGGGAAACAAGCCTGGGCATGGTTCGGATAGCATAGTGTGAGAAGGCCCTAATATAACCCAGTGGTTTACAACCCTGTTCCTGGGGACTTATTATCCCAGAGTTTATCTGCAACCCTTATCAAACACACCTAAAGTGGCCAATTAAGCTCCCCAAGACAGCTTGAAAATTGTTGTCAAGTGCACTAAATCCGGTTGGAAATAAACTTTACAGGATACCAGGAACAAGGTTGAAGACCTCCGATATAACCAATTGTATATTACCTTCCACATCTAGAAGCCAGTCCCTCCAGAAACAAACAATCCTGTTTTCTAGGGTCCTTTTGTTAGTGCCAACTGGTGACAGCTGCGGGATGAAGAGCTCCGCTAAGTCTTTTGCTGTAAGTGGCTTCTCTTTAAACATCAAAATTTCTCGAAAGAGACTTGGATGTTGTTCCAAATGTTGCAAAAGCTGCAAACATTCCAGGCCTTCCTTGAATCTGAAAAAAATAATAATATAATTTAAGCATGAACAAGCTATGGTGATTTTTTTTAGTGATTTTATCTCAGAAAAAAAACAATGTACTTGATATTACTAATTATGCATAATTTGCTGTTATTACCAATAGTATCTGGATGCAGCCTTTATGATGCAAGCTGAGACTGCATCACTCAGCGATGCAGTGTCAGACACAATGCCCTCAATGGAGTGACTTTACTGTGACGGGTAGGGTTAGGTGAGCCCATTAAAAAGCATTGGATGTAGCCCAGATTGCACTGCACCAGGTCTGCAGCCAGACACCTCTCGTTATTACTGTATTAAGTATATCTGGCAACATGTAACCACTACACATTAAAATTTTGTGTTACTTATTTTCTACTCTTAATATTTGTATGTTTAAATACATTAATCTTTTTTTAGAAAGTCACCATTTCAAACAAATAATAATAATAAGGAAAGTAATCGCAGTAGAACCATAATTATTAATAAAATTACTGCTTATATTTGGCTTGTTTGTGTGCTGTTGCACATCTCTGTGTGTGGATTAAGCAAAGTGAACATACTTTGAGCACCTGCCTGTCAGGCTCATATTACTTTCACACCCTTATGCCATTGACTTTAGATCAGGTCTTTGCTAGATAATGAAGTAGTCTATTTCAGTTGCCACAAAATAAAAACATGCCAACAATGAGCCTTGTGCTATCTTATCCAGACATTTTACATTTAGGGCCCTATCGTTACACCCGGCGCAATGTGGCACAAGGGACAACGCAATTGTTGTTTGCTAGTTTCAGCTTGGCGCAAGACTCGTTTTGAGGTTTTGCGCCATGCTGTTTAAATAGCAAATGCATTTGCGCTCAAATGTGCGCCCATAGGTGTTCTAGTCTTAAACGGAAGGCATTCTGAGGTGCATTGCTAATTTGAGAAACTATAATAGATTTTTCAATAGACCAGGACAAAGCCAGTCTAAAGTCGATCGCAGAGTGCGTTAGTTGTGCGCCTTGCTTACACTGCTTAATACACACAAGATGTAGAGCAATACGCAAATATCTTTAAAAATGAAAAAGAATTAAAATATTAAGGATATATATAGGACATAATAAGAATATATATAGGATATAAATATAAAGGATTAAAATATTACAAAACATTATTTTCCAGCCTACATAAATAAAATAAAAAACTGCTTTCATGCCTTCATCATCTCGGGGGGCTTTCTCAGTTCATTCCTAACAGTTTTCTTTTGTATAATGTTATTATTATTAGCAGTATTATTTATTATATCCATATTTATATTTGTTTTATTAAACACAAGCTTAGATTTGCCCACCTGTCAGGTTTTAGACCATATGGGGCACAGCATATGTTTTAGGATATAACTCAGGTTTTTGAGCACACTTCGTTATTATTGTTCATTTATTCGTTTGCTGGAAATTAGAACTGAATTTCGAAATTGTTTTGAAACAAATATTTGCGCTTAACAAACAAAATAATTATGTATAGGCTAATGGATATCTGTGCGTACAAGGTTTCCCTATCCACGAGAGCGAAAATAGATTATGAGAGGCCTAATTTTAGTTTAACTTAACTTTTGTTTAACTGTTTTCTTGCTAGTGAAATGCTCAGTTTTTCCACTTACACTTACTTTAAGTCATGTAAATAAGCAAATGCGCTTAAGACAAGACACAACTGGCTCTTCAATGGAATGAGAGATAAGACTGGTTTATTCTCAAAACACACCTATAACTCATTAAGAAAATAAGCTCAACCCTTTTAGATCATGTGCTACGGCGCAAAGCGGATTTTTCCATCCTTAAAATAGCAAAAGTGGAATCTGACACGCCCCTTAAAGCGTTTTGCGCCCTGTGCTTTGTGCATGGACCGTCAAAATAGAGCCCCTAGTGTTAAGCTATTATTTAGCGACCTCTTCTGGTTATACATGGGTATTGCATTTTATGTTAGAGTCATTATTTCATGACATCATAAATAAGAGCCTAGGTATTCAGAAGCCGCATGAAGAGCACATGGTTGTAGCTATTATTTGCTCCTTGATACAAGAGTTACTGAAGGCACATTTGGTATGTAGACATTATTTTTTCATAATTTGACTTATATTTGTTTATGCTTATGCTATAGGCTTGTTATTATACATGCAGTATGTTCATTTTGTTCCTTATTTGATAAATTGTAATATATGACTACATGTATGATTCAGTAGGGTGTGAAAACAGTGATCTATTTTGCATAGAGCGCCAATTGTGCTTGTTTATTTGACATATTATTGATCCAGCATATATACCATTCTGTATTTTGTATGTTTTACGTTATTTCATAAGCAACAGTAAAGGGTTCAAACTTATCCCTTGAGTCTGTTGTCATTGGAAGACGTTATCTCTCTGTCGAATCAAGCAAGGCATTTGATATAAGGGGCAAAACAAGCCTGAACTCGTTTTCAGATCAGCATGCATATGGGTGCACAGATGGAGACAAGTGCATTTTCTCTATAAAAACATGGCAGAGGACATGGAAATGAAAAATGCATCAGATTTAAACTATCAAAAAAAAAAAATGTACATGCTGCTACATTGCACCAGGTGTATTATACTTTGACTTGACTTTGAAAAGCCTTGTTTAAGTTGTATCACTTATTTAAACATTAGTTATATTTAGTAACTCACTGCTGCACAGAATCCTTTAACCTGCTCTCCAGCAAGAAGTTTGTAGCTGCTACAACCATTTCATCTCTGTCCTCTAATGTGTTTATATGCCGGAGTGACCCCAACATTGCCAGTTCGTCAGCAGCTTCAGTGATGGCCTTCCTTGCATCCTCAACATTCTGTGCTGATTGGATCTAAAGCACAAGGCATTTAAGAAAGAGTAAGTGTACAAAATATGAATACACATAATAGTCTACAGGAATAGAGTTGAGAAACACTGCATACTTCTGACAAGCTATTTATGACAAGGTGTTACAGTTGATCTACACATCTGTACAATGCAACAACTACTGTAACAACTGCTTAAATCATGAATTACATAAGAATTTACACCACCAACTGCACAAAATGACCTTAATATGGGCATATGTAGTTTTTAAAAGAATTGCAAAAATCTTACTGCCTTAATCTTTTCTCTGAACTCGGAAGTCGACTATTTCTTCAATGTCAGGTGCTGAAGACTTAAAGAGCATATTGTAGGTTAAAAAACTGTTTAAAAAAAGGTAGAATCGTTTGTGAAAATACTCTATAATACGATAAAATACCATATTAAAATGTTTTACAAAGTGCAAGGGCACAAATTTTAAAGAAAATGTGTCTGTTTTCCCACTTTCGCTTTTTTTTCTAACCACCCCGGTGACGTCAGAAGAGTGAGTTATCTGACAGATGCGCGCTGTTTACAGTGGGGCAGAGGAGCTAATAGCAGAACTGGTTGTTAGTTTTGGCGTAATTTATCATCATCGTGGTATATTATTGCGTTTATGGAAACTGCACAAAGTCCAGCCTGTCAACAGATCAAGTCCACAAGTTTCCTCTTGCTATTTTGGTTCGTGAAATCTGATGAATCCGATAAAAGTGATAGCTGACGCGAACGGCGAGAAACACTCCTGGATCTGTCGGAGATGCAGCTCGATGAACTGTACACAGTAAGACAACTTGTTTTTCATTTATGTTTGTCAACTTTCAAGTCCGTAAGCATTATTATTTGAGTAATTTGAAGCAACGTGATGTGTTTACTTTGGAGTAGCCGATAGCACGGCTGCTAGCTTATATTGATAAGCATATTAAATATACTTTTTTAAAGCGTGTAAAAATGTTTACATATGATAAGACGGCTAGTAGCATCAGTTTGCTAATATAATAAATGTCTTTTATAGTTACAGCGTTGTGACTTTGTTTGCTTTGTGGTGTGTTTATTAGACTTTTTGAGAAAGAGATGATGACCCGGAGCTGAAGGCTTTCTCTCCACTGGCCTCTCGGTCAACTGTGCTTCACTTTGGCTCACAGAATAACCTCAACTAAGGTAAAGTGGATTTTATATTCGCACATTCGATTAGTGACAGCTTGTGTGACACACCCTCTGTATTGTTTACTATAGTACTTTTATTATAATGACTGAAATCACACGTAAATATGACTTAAAAACAACATTAGCACTATTAAACTGACAGTGAACAATGTTGTACTTTGATAGTCATTGGCTGCTAACATGATATTAGGAATTAGCAAATAATACTCTTCTGAAATTATATTATTAGGGAGAAAGTCAGAATGTGTGAATATAAACCAATTTTACCTCAGACATTCACCTCGTTCATCGGGTAAAATATTATGACCCCTATCGTGAATTATTTGTACGTTACATGGTATTATTTGATAACAAAAACTAGAAGGGCAAAGATTTACAACAATATTTCTATATAATGCAGGCAGGTAAACTCACACTATCTTTGACTTCCTTTTTTTTTTAAATATTGGAAACGTGTAACCATTGACTTCCATATCTGTTTTTCCCACTATAGAAGTCAATGGTTACAGATTTCTAGCTTTCTTCAAAATATCTTGGTTTGTGATCAATTGAAGAAAGTCAATAAGGTTTGAAACCACTTGAGGGAGAGTAAAAATATTCTGTCCTGTCAATGAGGAAAGGCACTTTTTAATCACTGTAGCGAGCCTACTGATGCCATGTCGCCCTGGTCACAAATTCACCCCAGCTGGCAACTCCTCAGCACCGGATCGCTCACAGCTGGACCTCATCAGCCAGGGAGAGATATAAGCCAGCCCCACACAGGAGGAAATCGAGCTTCATTTCCACATGACTCCCTGCGCTAACGCTTGTCTCTCTCTGTCTCTCCCACAGCCGAATCCAGCTCGTGACCAATCCAACACCAGAACTCTCACCAGCTTTCACCATCTCCCCGGAGCACATGAGCACGCACCCCTAAGAAGAGCACTCATTCACTCACTATATCACTTGTAAATAAAGCACCCTCCGGGGCATTGTTTGTAACTTCACTCAACTGTGTTTGTGTTTTCCCTTTTAAAATTCAGAAGAAACACTTACCAGTAAGAAGAAATAACCGCTGAATTTTTCTTTTTGTTCTCTCTCTCTCTCTCAGGCTTCCTCTTACTCGGCTGTCAATATCCCGTCGCCATGTCTTTGGAAGAGGTACTGCTCCACCTAGCGGAGATCTCCAGCAAACAGAATTCCATCTCTGAGCAGCTTACAGCCAGACAGGATCGACTGGAACAACAGCTCCGCCAGGCGGCCAGATACCATCCGACTCCCGAAGTGAGTGCGCATCATCATCTCACTAAACTCAGCAACCTGGATGATATTGACTCTTACTTACACACCTTTGAAGTAATTGCCGAGAGAGAAGGCTAGCCGAAGGAAAACTGGGCGAGAATGTTGGCTCCTTTTCTCACAGGAGAAGCAAAACGGGCATTTTTTTGCACTTGAGACACCCCAAAATGAAGATTACAAAGCGTTAAAAAAGGAGATATTAGCCAGAATGGGGCTTTCCACAATCAGCGCAGCACAACAGTTTTCCCAGTGGTCTTATGACAAGAAACAGCCAGTGCGGACTCAAGCAGCTCAACTTTCTCATCTGGGAAGACTATGGTTATTGGGAGGAGATTCTTCGGTGGTCCAGGTTGCTGAGAAAGTGATCATTGAGAAGATGATGCGAGCGTTACCCCAACGTTTGCGCACACTCACCAGCATGCGAAATCCTGAGTCACTGGCCACCCTGGTGGAGGCGATCAAGCTGGCTGAGGCTCATATCGCCAGAGACAATGGGGAGAGAGCGGCTCTGCCACCCCGGAGGGTAAGTGCACCATGGCGACCGGTGTCGAGTACAGCACGACCAGGCGGCAGACCAGCGGTCCCCAGCCTGATGGACGAACCGATGCCCACAGAGCCGACGACGCACTCAACCCCGGCCTGGACAGCAGGTTGCGTGGTACACCGCAACATCCCTCCCGAAGCTCCCACCCATAAAGTCCATCTAAAGGGAAAAACACAAACGGCCACGTTACACACAGGAAGGGCCATCACTCTGGTTCACCCGAAGACCTTAAAATACTAACATGAAAGTAAAGGGCGAATTCCAATCACGTGTGATACCCGCCACGTACCCGCCTGAAGAGTGACCATCGCGGCTAAACCAGGCAGCTGGCGCATCGAAGTCGGGGTCGTTCCGGATCTTCCTGTGCCCCTCCTACTGGGCAGAGACTGGCCGGGGTTCGACGAACTCCTGACTCACCACCACGCTCTATCGGCTTGTTCAAAGAAGAAGAACAAGTCACTGGCTCATCGGGACCGCAAACCAGCGGTGATGACCACCGAGAGCGACAGAGGGGGTGAGTCATCTATATCCGCTAATTTGAACTTTGATCTGTTCCAACAGATAACCGCAGGAGGTGATTTTGGCAGAGCACAAAGGGAAGATGAGACTCTCAAACACTGCTGGCCGCAAGTAAGAGTTATTGACAGTAATGAGCGACTTCCCAGCCCTCACCCCCTCCAACATTTTATTGTGGAAAATGGTCTGCTGTAATGTGTCGCAGAGAGGCGGGGGGAAAAGAAGACACTACTGGTCCTTCCGAGGACCAAGAGGGAGATGGTCTTAGAATTGGCACATACCCACCCGATGGCTGGACATCTGGGAGCGGCTAACACGGTGAAAAGGATCCGCGATCGTTTCCATTGGCCGGGGCTAGACGGAGAGGTGAATGTGATTGAAGGTATTGCCAGGCATGTGACATCTGCCAGAGAACGTCTCCCCAACGACCACCCCCCAAGCCTCTAATACCATTACCCATCATTGATGTGCCCTTCACCCGCATCGGTATGGACTTGGTAGGGCCTTTGCCGAAGTCGGCCCGGGGACATGAACACATCCTTGTTATCCTCGATTATGCCACCAGATACCCTGAAGCGATTCCCCTAAGGAAAGCCACGTCATCGGCCATCGCGAAGGAGCTGTTTCTCCTATGCAGTCGAGTGGGAATTCCAGCAGAGATACTGACCGACCAGGGCACCCCCTTCATGTCCCGGTTGATGGCAGACCTCTGTCACCTCCTCAAGGTAAAACAAATAAAAACCTCAGTGTACCATCCACAGACTTACGGCCTTGTAGAGAGGTTTAACAAGACTCTGAAGCAGATGCTTCGACGGGTGGTGGCAGAGGACGGCGCGACTGGGACCTCATGATCCCGTACGTGTTATTTGGAATCAGGGAAGTCCCCCAGGCCTCCACAGGCTTTACCCCCTTTGAACTGCTGTTTGGCCACCAACCCTGAGGGCTATTGGATGTGGCTTGTCAAGCCTGGGAACAGGAGCCAGCCCCCCAGCGGTCGGTGATTGAACACGTATGGGACATGAGAGAACGCATCGAAAAAGTCATGCCCATCGTCAAACAACACCTGACCGAAGCCCAGTGCGCCCAGCAGAGATTGTATAACCGGCCCGCCCAACCCAGAGAGTTCCACCCAGGGGACAAGGTGATGATCCTCATATCCACCACAACCTCGAAGTTCCTCGCATACTGGAAGGGACTATACACGGTGGTAGAAAGGGTAGGGCCGGTAAATTATCGAGTCCGTCAGCCGGGATGAAGACGGGAAGAACAGCTATACCACATCAATCTAATGAAGAAGTGGGTTGCAGCTCCAGGTCATCTCGTTGCGTTCAATGAAGAAACTCTTCCCGTTGTCCACATAGGTGAGCAACTCTCACCAAACCAGAAGGCGGAGCTGCAAGCCTTGGTTGGTCAGTTCAAGGATGTGTTCTCGGAGAAACCGGGCCGAACCACCATCATCCAGCATAACATCATCACTCCACCTGGCACCATCGTCCGGCAAAGGCCTTATCGAGTACCAGAGGCTCACCGGCTGGCTATCAACGAGGAGATCCAGAAGATGAGTAGGTTAGGAATCATCGAACCATCCCGTAGCCCGTGGTCCAGCCCAATAGTGATGGTCCCCAAACCCGATGGCACCCTACGTTTCTGCAACGACTTCAGGAAACTCAACGAGATCTCCAAGTTCGACGGGTACCCCATGCCTCAGGTGGACGAGCTGCTGGATAGGCTGGGTGGAGCCCGATTTATCTCCACCATCGACCTCACCAAAGGCTACTAGCAATTACCACTAAGTGAAGACGCCAAGGAGAAAACCGCCTTCTCCACACCCGGTGGGCACTGGCAATACCGGGTTCATCCCTTCGGGCTCCACGGGGCCCCAGCCACATTCCAAAGAATGATGGACATCCTGCTGAGGCCCCACCAGCCATATGCAGCAGCATACCTGGACGACCTCATCGTCCATTCCGAGTCATGGGAGGAAAATCTATCCCGGTTACGGAGGGTGCTTCTAGATCTTTAACGGGCTGGGCTCACAGCTAATCCCAAGAAATGCCACCTGGGGCTAGCCGAAGCCAGATACCTCGGGTTCCACATCGGAAGAGGTCTCATACAGCCACAACAAAACAAGGTCAAAGCACTACAAGAAACTCCACAACCCACCACAAAGACCCAGGTACGTGCATTTCTGCGGTTAGCGGGCTACTATAGATGTTTCATACCTAACTTCTCATCCATAGCCAGCCCTCTGACAGACCTGACCAGAAAGGGGCAGCCGGAGAGGATAAGATGGAACAAGGAAGCAGACGACGCGTTCCGAACCCTGAAGACGGCCCTCACATCCTCACCGGTACTGCACGCACCTGACTTCGGCTGCCCCTTCATTCTTCAGACGGATGCTTCCGACTCGGCCCTGGGCGCGGTCCTCTCCCAGGTCCACGGCGATGAAGAACATCCCATCATGTACGCGAGTCGGAAGCTTACCCCCGCAGAGACCCGCTACGCAACGGTGGAGAAGGAGGCCCTGGCGATCAAGTGGGCAATCCTGGAGCTCAGGTACTATCTCCTTGGCAGGAAATTCACCCTGGTGACCGACCACGCCCCGCTACAATGGATGGCTACAGCGAAGAACAACAACGCTCGGGTCACCAGATGGTTCCTGTCGCTCCAGGATTTCAACTTCGACGTTCAACATCAAGCCGGGGCTTCCCACGGAAACGCAGACGGACTCTCACGGCTCTGGTCAGGATGGGCAGGTCTGTCAAAACATTTTACCCCCCCCCCTCTCAATACACTACTTTTTCTTCGCATAAGACCCAGGACCAGGACGACGCTAAGGGGGGTTTTCCCTCTGCCTCGCTACATCACATATGAGGAATATTCATCTTGTAGAAGAAAAACAAATAACATTCAAAAAATTGAAGTTTGTTCTAACATGCTCAACTTCTAATGGGTATAGTCTACTGTATATGTGAGATGGTTTGCAGTTCACTATCCAGGGGTCTGCAAATGTGGTTGGGTTTTCTGTATTGTGTTATATTAAAAATCTTATGGTGAATTTTTAAAATATACATTATTATTAAACATGATTAAACTTTTGCATGATTTCCCCAGAATATATGCATCAGCCCTCACTGCGTGTCTGACGGTGGACTACTGGAGGTCTTCACAGGCTCGACGAGAATGCAGAACTGTCCACTACATTTACTCTCCTTTCTAGATCCTTCCAGCAGGTTTACACAGATGAGGCTGTCGGCATCTTTTTACACAGCATTCACAATTTAGCACACATTAAAGACATGATGGTGTGGTACCCACATAAACGTTGGCCAACTTACTGAAAAATTATTTTAGGTTACTTTTAAATGGGTCAGATGATATATTTTCCTTTCAGTATACACACACTCACACAGATACTTATACATATATAAAGAGTAAAAATGCTGGGTATTAACACTGCTTATGATTTTGTGCTATATAAATAAAACTTGAACTTGAGTTGCATTTAGAATTTGAACTTGAATTAGGGTTGAAGTTTATTTAATCATAAATGCAGATCAGATCTGTTGATCAAATCTTTCTAAATATTTTATACTGTAACAACTGTACTTGTCTTTTTATGGATTGTAGCCTAAATGGGATCTGATACAGATAATCTTATACCCTATGAAAAAATGACAAAGACATATTTAAAAACTTATTTTAATTGTTTTAATATTTGATGTTGTTTTTATTTTAATACAGAAGCTCTGAAAACCTTTTGTAAAATAAAAAAGATTTTCCAGTACCTTGTTTACATGTTTCTGCATTAGTCCAGACGTTCTGTGTTATTTGTGTTTTGTATTCACTTATCTACTATTAAAAATAGGGTCAATGTGGCATAACTGTGTTAAATGCTCATTAGTTTCTTCTACTGGTAAGTATTAATACTTATAGATGATTAATTCTAGCTTTGCTGTTGCCAGATAAGATTTTGTTATCTTACATATCTCTCTGTAAGCCAACACTGGCCTTACCATAAACCTGCTCTGTTCTCCCTCACAATAGTTAAATTACACTTCTCTGTCTGCTGGTCTGTCCACAGGCTTATAATTGTATGGCTGTGGTCTGTCGTTTGTGTAAGTCTCTCAGAATATCTTATCTCGGCAACCAAACGCGCACCACGATCAGTTGTCTTCATAGTGTTTATATGCGCGAACTCCCTGATTCGACATCACTTCCGGTCTGGCGATTAAATTTCCGTGACTTAAAACGACTCCAAACGGCTTAATAATAAACTTTAAAGTATATTTTATAGAAAATCTAATTCTTACTTTACTCTTACACACATTGTCTCACTGGGGTGTCTAACCTACAATATGCTCTTTAAAATACAATAAAAAGAGGTCTTGACAGAGTTTGTTGTGGTTTCTGGATTTTCTCTTACTAAATCAAACTCAGTCTGGAGGTTATGAATATCAGAAGAATATACTTTAATGCCATAACATATCTAAAAGTTCAGTAAGATTCTTCAATGCCAAAAATATTAGTCATTTATTAGAAACAAATGAATAATTCGATGACAGAGCTCTGGGTTACGTTACCCCAATGCAATACAAGAATTAAATTCAAGAGGTTCACAACTAACTTACATTTCCTGACTTCAGCATATATACACAACTGATAATAACAGGTGGAGTTTTGGTTTAATCTCACTGATCAGTCATTCTGCAGTCCCCTGGCTCTTTGTAACCCCTAGACATACTTCCTCTTTCTGCAACTCTTCTCTGCATACCAGAACTGAACAATTACGTGCAGCTTTAATATATTTCATAACTTCTACAAAGATCATGCTCCTTGTGACATGTCCAGACAGCAGTCTGGAACAAACCTAAATTTATTCTTATTCTGCTTTTTCCACTAGTCAGAAGTTCTTCTAAAAAGTATGCAGCACAGTAAAAAAAATAGGAAGTGTGTTTGGTCAAGATGTGTTATACAATAGAAAAGATTGATTAATATGTTGTTAGTCTAAATATTTTTCTAATAAAAAAATAAAGACACAAAAGTAATAAAAATAAATTCCTTTTTCCTACAACGGATATCCAATCAGGGTTTACGACATACTCCAATTTGGAGTCTTGGGATCATCACAGTGTTTTAATTTTGTAAAAAATGCCAAAATCATAAAATATTCATCAAGTTTGTATTCTACTCCAAAAAGAAAAATGTAGTAAACTAGAAAGAATCTTGAACCCAAAAGTAAAGAAACTTTACTAACAAAAGCTGCAACAAAGGGCAATTGAATAGGTTTCTAAACTTGAGGCCTTGGTACACTGCAAACTAACCATCCTGGAGCTCCACCTTCTTTGATGTGCAAAGTACCAGTGATTTGTTTCTCATTCACGGAGTCAGACAGAGAACATTATCCATAACACTTACTACATGAATACACTGGAGAATGGAGTACAGATGTATCCGCACCTGTACAATCACTTGCAAAAAAAAATTTAAGCCACAGAGGTGCTGTTTGATAATGAAACTGTTCTTCACTCAGCCACCATCATTGTGTTTACGGTAAACAAGAGCACAACACATTTACAACCCCACCTACTGCAGTGTAGAAGTGTTGGAAAACAGTATATCATCACTCAGCCTTTTCAAACATTATTCAGACATGAAACATCCTGTGCACGAGAAAATGTTTTGCAATGTGTGCAACTTTTTGTCCATGTGTTTCTTAAGCTGTGCCGAATGAGCGAAACTCTGTAGACACTGATCAGGTCTGTTCGGTTTCTCTCCAGTGTGAATCCTCTTCTGTGTTTTCAGATGTGTTAACTGATTAAACCTCTTGTCATAGTGTAAACATCTGTACGATCTCCAGTGTGAATCGTCTGGTGCAGTTTCGATTTTCGAGCTGTAATAAAAGTCTTCCCACACTCAAGGCACATATACTCTCACACCAGTGTGGATCTTCATGTGTTCATTAAAGTTTGCTGATCGAAACTCTTCCCACACTAAGTTCATGTGAATAATACAGTGTGGGTCTTCATGTGTTTATTAGGGACTGATGAGCTCATCCCACACTGAAGCTGCGGTAACACAAGAGTTTGAGCATGCGAAATTCTGTTGTATGGAAACAGGGGCGGGATTAAACAAGATGATTAGACATAAAAAAAGTAAGCGATTGGTCTATATTTTCCATTTCTGTCCAGAAAGGTCATGTTTTAATCTTCGATTGGTCTTACATGGTCAAGTAATGCGATTTCGCAGGTCAGAGTTCAACAAGCTTGAACTTTGCAACGCAGTGAACTGTGAAACTTGACACACAAACTTGGCTTCCGAAATCTATGGGGAGATAAGTCCAATGTGACCGCAACTTAAGTGCATGTGAATGGTTTCTCTCCAGTGTGGATCATCATGTGTTGATTAAGGTATGATGAGCAGTTAAAAGTCTTCACACACTGGGTGCAAGTAAAGGGTTTCTCTCTAGTGTGGGTCTTCTTGTGATTATTAAGGTTTGATGATTGGTTGAAACTCTTCTACACTGAGTGCAAGTGAATGGTTTCTCTCCGGTATGAATCATCATGTGTTCATTAAGGTGTGATGATCGGCTGAAACTGTTCCCACACTGAGTGCATGTGAATGGTTTCTCTCCGGTGTGGATCATCATGTGTAGATTAAGGGATGATGATTGGATGAAACTGTTCCCACATTGAGTGCATGTGAATGGTTTCTCTCCAGTGTGAATCATCATGTGAATCTTAGGATCGAAATTTCTTCCAAAACTCTTCCCACATAGAGTGCAAGTGAATTGTTTCTCTCCGGTGTGGATCATCATGTGTCGATAAAGGTGTGATGATCGGCTGAAACTCTTCCCACACTGTGTGCATATGAATGGTTTCTCTCCAGTGTGGATCCTTATGTGTTGATTGAAGTTTGAAGAATGGCTAAAACTCTTCCCACACTGAGTGCATGTGAATGGTTTCTCTCCAGTATGGATCCTCATGTGAATCTTAAGATCACCTTTTCTTCCAAAACTCCTTCCACACTGAGTGCAGGTGAAACGATTCTTGTCTCTCCTTTTCAAAATACCATCAGTCTGTAAATGAGTTTTTTCCTCAAATTTGACATGATGTTCCTCCTCTTTCCTCTCATTCTCTTCAATAAAGTCTGAAATAAATAAATAAAACATTAGTTTTCATTAAGTCTTGAAAACTCTCATCAAAAGCTGAAAAGTGAAAAGACACTGGAAACATTGGCTGCACACACTGTAATTTTGATGCACATTAAATGTAAAATAAATCAGATCATATTTTGTTTGGTCCATTAATGTGTACACATTTAGGCAGATTCAATTCATCTTTATTTATCTAGTGCTTTCACAATGTAAACTGTGTCAAAGACACCTAACATAGAAGTTATAGTAAATTGAAACTCAATCCAGTTTTCAGAGTTTCTTACATTATTGATCATAAAAGTAATTTTGGTCATATTGATGAGACACAGATTTGAAAGCTGTAAATGGCCTATTTTTATTTGTACTTATTCATAATTACAAAAAAATGTTTTTCTAAAATGTGTAAAGCAGACAGGGAATACTTGTTCATTCTGTGCCTGACTGGTAAATATATCAGAAAAAAAGTTCTAGGGTAACAGCTGAACAAAGAGCTGAATATTTGCCTCGCAGACATGAGACATACCCAGTGGTGGGAGTAACGAATTACAACTACTCACGTTACTGTAATTAAGTACATTTTTGGGGTAATTGTACTTTCATGAGTAGAATTTTAAGCCTTTAATTTTACTTGTACATGAGTACAAATTAAGCTGAGTAATCTACTTCGTTACTTTTATAATCACAATTCGTTACAGAGTACTGTAAATAAATTAATATTTCAGCCACGCACTGACCAGCATTTCGGTAGCCAATGAAAGAAGCTGATCTTAACGGACCAATGAAAAGCCTGGTACATTATTTGAACCGAAAAACAAGTTCAGGCTACAGCAGATTTACGTGACCGTCATCATAGTCACAAAGTTATCAATTGACATATGGAAATTTAAGACAGAAGAAATGAGGAAGAAATAGCAGAGGATGAATGCATGGCCACACCCGGAGGAGCTGTTCACCTACAGGTACATAGGGAAGAAAGGGGACAGATGTGCTGATGTGAATAGCTATGTTATCATCTAAAATACTAATTAAATATATGCCCAAAACTGGAATATCGCATAAAAGACTGCAAATAAAGCAGCTTTTCTGTCCATCAAGTCAAAGAGAACAAAATTGCCACCTTCTGATTAACTGGCGACAAATATCAAAAGTAAAAACAGAATTAGCATCAGTAGGAGCAGCTGCGTGAGTATATTATCTTCATTTAATAAGTGACTTGCGCATCAGAAGTCAATCCTGCACGCAGTGAATGCGCGCTGGCGTTTGAAGGCGCGAGGAGTGCAGAAACTCTTGACAATTCTGGAGGTCATTATTAATATAATACTGAAATGGTTGAGGCGGTTTAGAATGACCAGAACAACACT